GCTCTTTTATTTCAAGGTAGGACACCTTGACAAGCACCACCTGACTCGAGATGTTCCCAAAAGGATCACGGTGCCGGGGAGCAGTCCCACTCCCTGCTCCTCTCCACTCCTCTTTATTCTGCCTCCCCGGGGCTTAATGTGGAGAGTGGACAGTGGGGTTAATGCCTCGCTGTAAGCACTGCTTAGCACAAGTGAGTGGGTTTGTGTTGCAGCGGGCCTTCCCCCCACTAGCAAAAAAATCCAGTGGAAATGACTTCCACTGTCCAGCCCTGTGGGCACTTTATTTCCCAACTAGCAGTTCCAACGTCCCCCCTCTGTTGCGGCTGTGTCCCAGAGGGCACAGGTGAATTTGATGTGGAACAATGATTAAAAGTTTTCTCCCTCAAGGTGACCTAAATAGTGGAGACGGTGAAAGTGAGAAACATGAGTGAGGGGCACGGAGGTGAACGCCTGCTGTGGACGTGTGTTAACGATGTAGATGAGCCAAAATCCAGAGTTTAGGGAATAATTCAGAGCTCGTCCTCACACTACTACAGCACACATGTAGTAATCAGTGATTGCATGTGACACGACGGGTATAAAGCACTGTGCCACAGACAGGAGGCGTCCACGATCGAATCATTGTCACATCAACGATTACCTCCGGGCGTGATGCATGTGAGCAGCGGTCTATCACTCGTGCTATTACCTGCCTCTTCCTGCCACACGTCCCTCAGCACACATCTTCTCTCTTAACTGTGCGTTCAATCACCTCCACCTCCACCGTCGCTGGAGCTGAGCTCCCCTTCGACAGTGACGTATGTCTGCGATTAGCCCGGATGCAGTTCAATTATGATAAAAAGCCAGCACACCTCTTAGGCCGTGATTAAAGCCTCAGCCGGGCCTTGATAAAGAGATCCCATCTCAGCGCCATCACCACCACATTATAAGACGCTCTGCGGCGCGGCTCTGCCTCATGCTTTTCACATCAGCGTTGCAGAACGCATACTGTCGCACGGATGGAGTCCACGCTGGTCAGAGTTGGATGGAGGGGCTGCACACGTGGTCGTCGACGCCTCAGTGCTCGCCTACTTTCAATTTAGAATAGCATTTATTTATAACCGTCGCGTTCTCCAGTCTTACACGACGCCTGGCGTATAACTGAAGGTGGCCTCAGACAGCGAGAGGTAGCGAGAGGCCCGAGGTTTGATAAATGCAAGAGCAGCGATGAAAAGAAGATATCAGAGGAGCATGAAAGGAGCAGAGCATTAATCCAACAGCAGGCTGGGAGAGAGAATGAAAGACAGAAGAAGGGGAGAGAGGGAGAGGGGGGAGGAGGAGGCGAAAGAAAGATAGCCTTTCGGCTGTGTTCTGTCAAGGGAGAAATTACACATTTACGGAGGTTTTTTCAAGCAACAACGGGCTCCATAGATCAAACCGCTGGATTTATGAGCCAATTTTCAACATGAAATATAGACACACAGAATCCATTTGAGCCATGTTTACTCGGCTTCTCGCTCTTTCCTCTCAATCAAAGCTGCAGTTTGGTTGGACTCTGAAACTGTAGCAATGCTAATTAGAGCTGGAAGTAAAGATTTGATCAATTGGAGCATTTTGATCATTTCATGTGATATCGAATGTTTCCACGTCTGACTGTTGGGAAAGGTGTGGGAAGCTGCAGCATCAAGAATTTAAAAAGATCAAACGCTTCCTTTGCTTTGGGTCAGTTTCTCCTGCAGATAAACTCATATTTGAATACTTTAATAATATCTCTGCATGCATGACGTGCTTTGTTTTGCAGGTTGGAACCTAAAGGCAGACAAACATCTGACATGTAGGTTTTGTGTGCAGGCTGCAGAGATTCAATTTAAAAAATATAAAGGCTATAAAAGTGATGTGCACCCATATCAAAGCCCCCCCCCCCTCCTATTCTTGGCAAACGTATTCAAAATTTGCATAGAAATTAATGTCTAAGTGGGCTAAACGACATAATTGACATGCAATTAGCAATATTATGAGGAGGAAACCTAATGAAGTTTTAGTGGCTATGCCACCCTAAGAATGATCACTGCTTAATTATCATATTAATGAAGTCATTAGTTGTCACTTAACTTGGATGACAGGTAAGGTAAGAATGTCGTGACCCCACGATCCCCCCAACAAATGTGTATTCAACACTAATTACCCCCGAGTGCAGATCTCTGAAACCTGCAGAGTGACGTCGCTGTGAAATGTGAAAGGCGAACTTCTTTGGTATAAACACGCACAGCTCCGTGTAAGAAACAGACTTTTATTGAAACGTTGACTAAAGCATCTCCAAGGTCACCTGAGAACACAAATCAGTCCCGCTAGTCCGACATGAAAACACTGGGCAGCAGATGGAAGCGAGGTGGAGACGGCGCCGGCACTACGGGTTAACACAAAACACGTTTCCAGTAAACACTACGGCACGAAACAAAAACCCTCACACGGGTCAAATGAGCTCTGCGGCTCGCCATCCTCCCCGACCCCGTTCTTTCATTCCAATTCATTTCAATTACGCAGTCATTCCCACCTTCTTGCCCGTGTCCCGATTAGCTCAGCCGGGCAATTTACAGTTGATCTTGCCTCATCTGAGGCCAAGCAGCGGTGCAGGCAGGGAGACGAGCAGTAATGGAATGAAATGTCACTCAGTCGCCGCCTTTGTCACAGCGATGCTGAGCGGGCCTGATGGGAGGGGGTCGAAAGGCCTCGTTAGTAGGTGAAAAGGTGTGTGTGTGTG